TCTAGTCCCGGTCAGAGCACGCGCACTTGGAGCACTTGGAGTGCAGTCATCAGCCTCACATCCAGGGCCGGGAACGCATCGAGCTTTTTTTGCGAACTATTCGATGGCAGCACAGTCGAAGGCCGCCTCCTCAGCGCAGTCGAAGGCCGCCGCCTCCTCTGCTGTCGTGAGCGGCGGCCTTTTCGCGGGCTACGTGGCGATACAGCTCTCGACGCTGCTTCTCGCGTCTGCGGCGCAACAGAGAGACGTGCAGACGCGCCACGTCGACTCAACGGCGGTCACGCTCTCGGAGCTGGTCAAGCTGCTCATCTCGCTGGTTGGGATCGCCGCCACCGAGCGGGTGATGCTGCGCGGCCTGCTGCGCGCCGTCCGGCAGTCGCTGCTCACCCCGTCGCTGCTTCGAGTCGCGCTGCCGGCGCTGCTCTACACGGTGCAGAACAACGTCATCTACTCGTCGCTTGCGCGCGTCGACGCGGTCACCTTCCAGATCACGTACCAGCTCAAGCTCGCCGCCTCGGTCCTCGCCTCGCGACTGCTGCTTGGCAAGCCCGTCAGTGCCGGCAGGTGGGCGGCCGTCGGCTTGCCCGAGATTACCCGAGATTGCCCGAGATTACCTGAGATTGCCGGCAGGTGGTCGGACGAATCTCGGCGAATCTCGGATGATCTCGGGCTGATCTCGGCGGATCTCAGCAGGTGGGCATCGGTCGGCTTGCTCACGGCAGGCGTGGTGCTCGTGCTCACTCTGCTGCCAGCAGCTGCCCGTCTGGTGATCCGTCCTTTCTTTTCTAGGCGTGGTGCTCGTGCTCACTCTGCTGCCAGCAGCTGCCCGTCTGGTGATCCGTCCTTTCTTTTCTAGGCGTGGTGCTCGTGCTCACTCTGCTGCCAGCTGTCTCCGCGGGGCCAGGGTTCTTTTCATTTCTAGGCGTGGTGCTCGTGCAGCTCTCGCTCCGTGCGGAGGACGAGGCGGCGGTCGCGTAGGCCCGGTGGTCGCCGGAGACGTCTGCTCGTCTCACCTGCTAGTGCTGTGGCGCGTTAGGCGGCGCTGGGCGGCGGCGCGGAGGACGAGCAGGCGGAGCTGCTGGACGAGGTCGCGAAGGGCGATTCATGGCTTGACCTGAGTGATTGTTTCCTTGATCAGGACGAGCAGGCGGAGCTGCTGGACGAGGTTGCGAAGGGCGAGCGGCGGCGCTCTCGCGCGATCGGCATCTGCGGCGTCCTCGCCGCGTGCGGCTGCTCTGGCCTCGCCGGCGCGGCGATGGAGGCGCTGCTCAAGGAGGAGAGATCTTCGCTCCCGCGCCGCAACCTGCAGGTGTGAAAGGCGACCCCGGGCGGGGGCTGGGCGGGGGCACGCGCACGCACGCACCACTCACCAGGGGGCGAGGGGAATGCAGCACAACGCCACGCCGCGGGGCTGGCACGCGCACATGGCGGGAGCCGAGCGAAGACGACCGGCCCCCGCCCGGACCGGAGCGCACTTCACAGGTGTCCGCGCGATCACGCGAGATCGCACGAGATGCAACGCACTCACAGGTGTCCGCGGTCTCGCTCCTCCTCGCGACGGCGCACATGCTCTCCTCGGACGCACAGCGGCTCTGGAGGGGAGGTACTCGCTGCGAGGGCCTCAGCCTCAGCTCCACGCCAACCCGCTTCCCCCTCCTCGAGCAGCAGGGGTCAGGCGGGGGTGTACCCTGGCTAGGCTTGCTGCAAGGGTACAGCCCGCTCACCTACGCGATGGTTGGCTTCGGGAGGGCGGGAGGGGGGCGGTGTGAGCGACGCCTCTTCACAGCAGCGGCTGTGAACAGGTTTGCTTCGACTCGACGGGCGGGCTTCTCGTCTCGCTCCTGCTCAAGCACGCCTCGAACTCGCTCAAGAACTTCGCCTCGCCCCTCGGCATCATCCTCAACTGCCTCATCGCGCGCGACACGCCTCTCCTCCTCCGGCCGCGTCACGGCCCTCCCCCCCTCCCGCACTGCGCAGTCGTGTCTCGTAGGCGCGCTGCTGCTCCCCGTACGTCCGTGTGGGTGGCCCTTCCCTTTTCTACTCGCTCACGGGCCTTGCCTCCCTCTTGCAGGCGCGCTACTACTCCGCCGACCCCGCCTCGCGAAAGCCGCCGCCGCGCCAGTTCCTCCTCGGCACTGCCCTCGTGCTCCTCGCACTCGGCACGTACAGCGTCGCCTGAGCACAGCCGAGGAGGCGCGGGGGGAACAAGCCGTCGCGCGTTGGTGGGGAAAGGCGTGTGCAGGGAGGGCAGCTACTTTGGCGTTTGGTACTTGGACGAGCACACGCCGGGTGGCCAGCTTGTGCGCGCGCCGAAAAACAGACGTGAAGCCGAACGCCCAGGGTTGCCAGGGGGAGGGCGGCGGGGGCAACGGGCGCATGGTTTGTATTTATTTTAGAACGGATAGCCGGTCGTCGCTCGTCGCACGTTGGAAGCGATTCGCTCTGCAAAAATCAGAGAGACGCGTTAGCACTTCTATTCATACTTTCCGAGACACGCTCTCGCATTCGGAAAACCCGCAGCTTCCGCGGGCCCACGCGCGCACACTGACCGACCTCATGACACTTGAGTCTTGACACGGACACACCTCAGTCCTCACGCCACAGAGCACAGTATCAAAAACGAACTACCGGCCGCGAGACCGAGAGCGCCGCGCCAGCTTTGTGTATGTGAAGGGCGGAGGGGGGGGTTTGGGGGGGCACACACGCACGCCCTGCGGGCGACTACCTCTTGCTGCCGCCGCCGCCCCCAACCGGCGTCGCCTCGATAACGTCTCCCAGCGGCGTCGCGACGACGGGCGCCTGCTCTCGCACAATCTCGTGTGATCTCGTGTGATCTCGTGTGATCTCGTGTGATCTCGCCGCGACGGTTTGCGCCTCGAGGAGAAGCCGCCGCTTGGCGAGGAGCGCCTGTCATTCATTACTCACCAAGTCCTGAACCATGATTCATGAATCGTGAATTACTGGCTAGTAGTGACGCCGCTCGGCGAGGGGCGCCTCGTGCTCGCGCCTGGCGAGAGTGAGTCGCACCCAGCGCGGAGGGCGCGGAAGGGTCACCTCGGTGGCGAGATCACCCGAGATCAGCCGAGATCAGCCGAGATCACCTGAGATCACCCAAGGCGGCACGGAAGGGTCACCTCGGGTGAGGGTGAGGGTTAGGGTTAGGGTTAGGGTTAGGGTTCGGGTTCGGGTTAGGGTTAGGGTTGCGACGAAAGGGTCGCCTCGGTGGCGAGGAGGAGGAGGAGGAGGCCGTGCTCTACCGCGACCAGCAGCAGGACGATGCCAGACGGCCACTGGCCCACCTGCCGCTGCCGCGCGTCGAAGAGCTGCGGAAGGAGCGGCGCCAGCTGGTCGCTCGCAAAGGCGATGAGGACTGCGTTTGTGAAGATGGAGGCGACGACGAGCACGTACAGCAGGCCGAGCCAGGTGCCGATGCCTAGAAGGTTCCTAGAAGGTTCCTAGACGGTTCCTAGAAGGTACAGCAGGCCGAGCCAGGTGCCGATGCCGCTCACTCGAGGGCGGCGGGGCCGGCGGCAGAGGTAGCTCACCTAATTAAGAGCAGTAATCTCGGGTAATCTCGGGTAATCTCGGGTAATCTCGGGTAATGAGGCAGAGGTAGGCTCACCTTGAAGAGGTCCGAGTAGAGCTCGACCCCTATACTCTCGCGCGACCTCGATCAAGCCCTCGGGGCGATCTCGGGTGATCTCGAGGTCCGAGCAGATCTCTCGACTCCGTTGCACGCGAGGGCGAGTGCGGAGGCGAGAGGGAAGGCCGAGGCGAAGAGCGTGATGTAGCCGAACTGGATCACCATCTCGAGGTAGTCGTCAAAGTCCTCGTGCTCGTCGAGCTCGAGGTCGCCGCTGCCGCCGTCCGTGCCGCCGCCGCCCGCGCCGCCGTCCTCTTTCTTGGCGGCGGCGGAGGCGGCGGCATGCCTGCGTCGCGAGAGCCGCTGCATCAGCAGCGGGAGGACCGCCTATCGCGATTTCGAGATTCCCCGAGATTCCCCGAGAGGAGGTGAGATTGCGTGAGCGACGTATGACTTAACTATTTACTTGATGGGGCTCTCGCCTCCGAGAAGACGCGCCTCGGGGTACTCTCGGGCACTCTCGGGTGATCTCGCTGGATCTCGCTGATGAGGGGGTCGCCTCCGTGAAGACGCGCCGGAAGACGTCTGTGGAGAAGAGCGAGACGAGCTCGACGCGAAGGCGGTCCACCTGAGAGTCGAGTGGCGGTGGCATGTTTGTTTCTAATTAATAGGTCCACCTGAGAGTCGAGTGGCGGCGGCTGGTTGGCGGCGGCTGGTTGGTGACTGGTTGGCGAGGCGGAGCCGACCGCCGAGCTCTAGTGCTCTAGTGGCGGCGCACGTCGCGGAGCTCAAAGGCGATGTAGAAGAGGGCGATGTAGCAGTCGAAGGCCTCGAACAGGAACCGCTTGACGATGAGCGAGTTGTCGTGCGCCTCCTGTTCACACCAGGGGCCGTGAAGAGGCGCTGCTGACAGGCGGATGCTCGTGCACCCGGTGGAAATCTCGGGCAATCTCGGGCCATCTCGGGCCATCTCAGTGAATCTCAGTTAACCTGGGAGGATCACAGAGGAGCTCAGTGAATCTCGCAGGATCTCGCAGGATCTCGCAGGATCTCGGAGAATCTCGCAGGATCTCGCAGGATCTTGGAGGAGCCCTTCCTGCGTCCGGTGGTTCTCCAGGTCAGTCAGCGCCTCCGCCACGTGCCTGTACGCCTGGTGGAGCAGGAGGAGGGCAATCTCAGGCAATCTCGGGCAATCTCGTCGTGCCGCCTTGTTGAGCAGGAAGATGACAATCTCGGGCAATCTCAGGCAATCTCGGGCAGTCTCGTCGTGCCGCCTTGTTGAGCAGGAAGATGACAATCTCGGGCAATCTCAGGCAATCTCGGGCAATCTCGTCGTGCCGCCTTGTTGAGCAGGAAAATGACGATCTCGGGCAATCTCAGGCAATCTCGGGCAGTCTCGTCGTGCCGCCTTGTTGAGCAGGAAGATGACAATCTCGGGCAATCTCAGGCAATCTCGGGCAGTCTCGTCGTGCCGCCTTGTTGAGCAGGAAGATGACAATCTCAGGCAATCTCGGGCAGTCTCGTCGTGCCGCCTTGTTGAGCAGGAAGATGACCGCCGCGTGCAGCACGGCGGGCAGCATGCCCGTCCACGCCTCGGGACCGAAGGCTCACCCGAGATTACCCGAGATGGCCCGAGATGGCCCGAGATTGGCCCGAGATTGCCCGAGATGCGCATGCCCCGCCCTCGCCTCGGGATCGAAGACGGCGCCGGGTGCGGCGAAGGCGGAGAGGGCCTCGTGGGCAAGACGGCGGCAGTAGTTGGAACAAGAGCAGGCGGTGGGAGTCGGGAGTCGGAGGGGGGGGGGGGGACAAGGGGGAGCGCCTCGTCACGTGGAGATCACAATCTCCCCCCCCCTCCCTCTGGTGCAATCTCGGGCGATCTCGCCTCGTGGTAGACGCGCACGCCCAGCACGTGCCTCGCGGCAGGGGAGATGTACCCCTGGGGCCGGTCGAGCGGAGGTGAGCTCGACATGGTGATCAGTGATTCACCGTGCTTCGCTCTTCACAGCGAGTCCTGCAGGTTGAGCGAGACGAACATGTACGCGAGCGGGACGATGAGGCACGCCAGCGACACGCAAAGCGAGGCGGCGTAGCGGAGCGCGCGGCTGCCGCGCCCCTCGACTAGCTCGACCTCCCCCGTGATCTCCGAGACAACCTCGCGGCCGACGAACTCGGGCCGCCGCACCTGCGGAGGGGCCAGGGGCGGAGCACTTGCAGCACACGGTTGCGCGGGCCGCACCTCTAGAGGGGTGGCTAACACTGGTCCTCGCCGCCCCCGCGTGGGTCGCAAGTCCGAGAGTGCGCGAGATTGCGCGAGATTGCGCGAGAGATGCGCATCTAGGCCGCCGGTCCTCCGCCTGGGCCGTGTGCGCGTCGTGGATGCCCCACCGGAAGGCGAGTGCCGCCTGCCTCACGAGGGCCAGGCAGCGACTGACCGCGTGGCGTGGTGTTGCGTGCCGGGTCCTCCTGCGCGTGAGACGCCTGCTTCCGCCGCCAGAGCTGCACAAAGAAGATTGCCTGACCACGCACGAGAGCCACTCCTGAGTGAGTGCCGCTGCCGCCGCCAGAGCTGCGCACAGAGAAGAGGAGTGCCCACACGACGGAAAACAGCGAGAAGACGGGCACCGCGCTGTCGTCGTCGACGCTCGTCCCTTTCGGGCGGCGCCACCAGATGCAGAGGCCGAGGGCCGCGGGCGGGGCCAGCGCCTGGACGTAGAAGGCCTGCCAGGCGAACAAGAAGCCCGTCCTCTCGCCCCAGTAGTCGCGGATCGCATCGAGGGCGAGAGGCTCGGACGAGCGGAGCCACGCCCACTCGCGCAGCAGCCCGACGGACCGTCGCCAGCCCTCGAGCCGGCCGGCGCAGTGTGCGGCGCTCACCTAGCATCGACCAAGAAGGATTGACTGTGCACCGCCGCCGCCGCCCTCCCCGCCCGCGCCGTCACCACCACCGACACTCCATCTCTGCTTCTGCTCCGATGGGTGAGCTCACCTCGCCGAGCAAGCCGACGGAGGCGAGGGCGCGTAGCAGCGACGACAGGTGGCGCGGAGGGACCTCGCGAACGGCGCCAGCGGCGAGCGCGGCGGAGAAGGAGGCGTTGTCGACGGGGACGGCCTCCAGCAGCGCGGTCACCAGGAAGACCCGCTCAGACGGCGTGAAGAAGCCGCCCTCTCCCGCTCCAGCGAAATCGGCCCGCTGCGCCAACACAAACTCGCGCATCGGCCAGTGCCGCTCGCTCGCGCACGACCGAGCCTCTGGCCGCAGGCGCTTTTCTAGCTCGAGGTGCTCCGCCTCGCGCTCGAGGGTCGCTGAGGGCGCGCTGACTTTCAGCACGGTGGCCGTGGCAGGGACCCGTGCCACTCTCAGGCCGGCGGCTCGGACCCGCTGCTCGACATACCGCACCACAGGCTCCGGAGCGGTCAGGGCCAGGAGAACGTCCGTGTTCGTCGAGGCTGCGTCCATGTGGTTGTTTTGTAGACGACTCTCGTTGGACGACATGGGGATAGCGGATGGCGGCGAAAGAGAAAAGCCGCTTTAATGACGGCGTGCCGTCCTCCCATCCCTCCCTTGGGTTGTCCCTTTTCTTTCTTTTTTTGAAGGTCCGATACCGATACTGGAAGCCCATATAGGCACCTTACACTCCCCCGCAGTATCGCACCTCTTGAGCGACACTACGTTCCCGCAGCTGGGGATTCTCCGGGTACCCCTCTTTGTACCTGTGCTGGCCGGATTCCTCCTCCGAACAAGTCAAGTTCGATCGGCCCCAGTCTCGAACTGGCAGCCACTATCTCACCGGAGGTACCATGTCCGAGTAGGCCACCGGCCAAAAGCGCATGTCTTGAAGGTCCGGATACTTGGAAGCCCATATAGGCACCTTACAGTGGTGGTTTGTGCGAAGAGAGAAAGGAGCGCAAGGTGTGTGCTGTGTGGTCCACGCCCTGCGAGCGGGGCGGGGTCTGCCCGTCGGGTTGTCGCCAATCTCCCCAGGAGATGTCTCGGAGCGGCGCGCCAGGCACAGTTTTGTTTTCACAGTTTTCCGAAAAACAAAAAGGAAAACAGAGGGTCCCCAGCACTTTGCGTTTCCGGAAATTTCCAGGGAAAACAGAGGGTGTTTGGTGCTCCATTCTGGAAACTCGCTGTTTTCCCTGAGTCTGAGAGCTGGTCTGGGGCAAAATCTGAGGTTAAATTGAGGAAATCGACAAAATACCCAGGCGGTCGCAGGGTAAATTCCAGGTATGCACGGGTTCTCCGCAAAATTCCCGGCATTTTGCCGATTTGGCCTAAAATTTGGCTGATTTTGGGCCCAAACCAGCCTCAGACTCGGCTCAGAGCCCAAAATTTGACGATTTCCACGGAGTTTTCCCGGGAAAGGAGAGAGGAAAAGAGAGGGTGTTGTAGAGAAAAAAGGAAAGGAAAACAGACGGGGTGCGAGAGGCAAACTGTGCCGAGCCTAACGAGGAGGCCACCGGCCAAAAGCGCATGTCCTGAAGGTCCGATACTGGAAGCCCATATAGGCACCTTACAGAAATGCACAGAAGGCGAATACAAAAACAAGAACACAACGCACTCTCTCACCTGACAAGCGATCCCACGTGCCACGACAGCGATTGTGGGGACTACATGATCCGTACGTGAAGGGTGGAGGGGCCCGTCCGCCGCCGGTCCGCGGAGCTAGGCGGTACGGGCGCCCTCCACTGGGGCCGAGGGTAAGAGGACGTCTGCCGCTTGCTTGTTCTTGACGTCGTTGACCCAGTGGCACGCTCAGGGGAGTTGAGCCAGTTGATACGCGTATTGGCTATTGCGCGCCTGCTTGTTGATGTTCTCGGCGTCGCCCGCCACCGCCGCCATGGAGATCTGCTGCGTGTGGTGAGAAATAAAACAAACGCACTTCACATGACAAGCGATCCCACGACAGCGATTGAGGAAAGGCGAGAGAAAATTAACGCCGGGGATCCACTATTGTGATGTTAGAGCTTAGAGGTGGGTTAAGAGGGAGAGGATCCCTAGGTAGGTAGGTAGAAAGGTGAAGAACAGCCAGGCTCGGACTGGACACCAACGCGGTATGGGTGGACGCGAGACAGATGCGTTGATGACAAGGATCCCTAGATGTTTATGTTTCGCAATGTTTCCCGCCGCCGCCGCTACAACCTCGCCAGAAGCGCCCTCGCCAGACGCGCCGCCGCCCGCCCATCTGCTCGACCTCCCCAGGGAGCTCCTCGAGCGCGTCCTCTCCCGCTGCGACAGCCCCCTCGACATCGCTCACGCCGCGGCCGTCTCGCTCCTCTTTCACGCTTCGCTTGCGGAGGAGGGCATCCGCTTGTGGGCACAAGAGCGCGGCTTGGAGCTGCCAGCGCAGCCAGAGGGCGAGAGCTGCGCCGTGCGGTGGCTGTGCTATTCGGCGTTGCTGCACGAGTCCAACCGGTCGGCGAGGGCGGCAGCAGGCCTTCGGCACAGCGTCTTCATCGACGGCGAGGGGCGGCTCTCGTCGTGCGGCACGGCAAGGGAGGGCGAGGAGGAGGAGGCGGAGGGCGAGGAGGCATTACCAAGCGTTCTCGGCCACGGCGAGGGCGTGCTGCGGCTCAACACACCGACCCGCCTCCCGTCGACGCTGGGTGACGAGCGCACCGTGAGCGTGGCGGCTGGAGAGCGGCACAGTCTCGCCCTCACCGCCGAAGGCGCCGTCTGGAGCTGGGGCTATGGGTTTTCTGGCAGCTTGGGCCACGGCCAGGCGCAGGGCCAGTGGAAGGAGACGCAGCTGCTGCCGAAGAAGATCGAGGCCTTTGCGGGGCGGCGCGTCATCGCTGTGTCGGCTGGAGGCGACCACAGCCTCGCCATCACCGGCGACGGCGCCGTCTGGAGCTGGGGTGAGGGCAGCTTTGGCCGCTTGGGCCACGGCGACCAGCAGGCCCAGTGGCAGCCGAAGAAGATCGAGGCCTTGGCTGGCCAGCGCATCGTCGCCGTGTCGGCTGGAGCCCGCCACAGCTTCGCCCTCACCGCCGACGGCGCCGTCTGGAGCTGGGGCTATGGAAGCTATGGCCGGCTAGGCCACGGTGACGAGCAGCGCCAGCTGCTGCCCAAGAAGGTTGAGGCCTTTGCAGGGCGGCGCGTTGTCACCGTGTCGGCGGGAGATTTGCAAAGCCTCGCCATCACCGCCGACGGCAGCGTTTGGAGCTGGGGCGGTGGAGCCTGGGGCAAGCTGGGCCACAGTGATGATCAGAACCAGCTGCGGCCCAAGAAGGTCGAGGCCTTGGCTGGCCATCACGTTGTCGCTGTCTCGGCGGGAGATTTACACAGCCTCGCCATCACCGCCGACGGCAGCATCTGGAGCTGGGGCGGTGGACGCTTTGGCCGGTTGGGCCACGGCGACTATCAGCTGCAGCTCCTGCCGAAGAAGGTCGAGGCCTTCGCTGGGCGGCGCGTCGTCGCTGTGTCGGCTGGATCCGCCCACAGCCTCGCCCTCACCGCCGATGGCGCTGTTTATGCTTGGGGCCTGGGCGAACGCGGCTGCCTTGGCCACGGAGAGGACCTGTCCCACCAGCTGCTGCCCAAGAAGATCGAGGCGTGGGCGCTGGGGCGGTGAGAGGCTGCCTGCTCCTGGGCCTGGCACGCCTCCGGGGGTACCCCGAATATCCGTGACAGCGGCCCGCCGCGGCGCCGCCGCCGCCAGCCCCGGCTGCGGCCGCCGCCGCGGCGCAACCGCCCACCTCATCAGGCGCTCGCGCTGCCGCGGCATTCTACTTTTCTCGCGTGTGGCGGGGAGGCGCCCCTGCTCTCTCCTGGGCGCATGGGCGGCGCGAGCTGTGCGGAGCGTGTGTGGGCTGTGGCGCAGCGCGTAGTGCGCTCTCTCCGCCCGGGCGACGCGGCTCACAAGCTGTGCATCACTGTGTCACGATTACCTCTGAGGGCGGCCAGTCGATAGGCGATAGCGTCTACACGCCTGTGCACGCAATCGATGGTACGAGAGTGTTTGGGAAGCATTAGCGGCGTGGCAGTTGTACGGCGATCTCCGATTCATACATAGCTCCGCGACCCCCAAACTTGGAGCACTTGGAGTGCGGTCATCAACCTCACGTCCAGGACCGGGGAGCTAAGAAGCGCACCCACGCGAAGAACATTTCTCCGCGCGATCATGCAAGCGCTCTCGATCGGCCTCGCGGCGTCGGCGCTCTCTGCTGCGTCGTGCGTGGCGCGCACCTCGCGATGTTGTTCGATGAGCGCCGTGCCGGGGCTGCTCGCCGAGGCCACGGCGCAGCTCGCCGAGCGCGGCGTCGAGCTGCGGCTCGGATCGACGGCGACGCCCGGTTCGCGCACGTCGTCGCGGATCGCGGTGCGCGCCGGCCCCGATGGCGCGGCGATGGTCGGCATGTTCAAGGCCGGGACGCACGAGGTGGTGCCGTGCGAGGCTGACGAGCGCTGCTACCTGCCGCACCATCCGTTGATCAACGACGCCGTCGCCGCCGTCGCCGGCGAGCTGCGAGCCTCCGCGGAGCTGAGCGCGTACGATGAGAGCTCGCTGCGCGGCACGCTGCGCTACCTGCAGCTCAGCGTCGAGCGGTCGAGCGACACCGTGCAGCTCACGCTCGTCGCGAACGCGCCTTCACTCGCCGCCGATCCCGCGCTCGCGCAGTTTGCGCTGCGCCTGTGGCGGCTGCGCGCGCCGCGGTGGCACTCGATCTGGGTCAACCTGAATCCGACGAGCGTCAACAACATTCTGAGCTACGAGCCCGACGCGTGGCAGCTGCTGCACGCGCGCGACCCGCGAGGCCTCGGCGGCGGCGGCGGCGACGGCGACCGCGACGCCGGCCGCGATGGCTGCCTGGTCGAGCGCTTCCCGTCGGGCGCAGCCTTTGTCCTACCGCCGTGGGTCTTCCGGCAGGCCAACCTGTACGCCTTCGACGCGATCGTGGGCGCGCTGCGGCGGGCCGTGCCCGCGGGTAGCCGCGTAGTCGAGTGGTACGCCGGCGTCGGCGTCCTCGGCCTCTCGCTCGCGCCCTCCGTCGCGTGGGTGCGCTGCTCGGACCTCAACCCGCCGTACGCCGCCTTTGAGGCCTCGCGCGACCTGCTGCCCAAGGGCGAGCGTGCGCGCGTCACGTACGCCGTCGGCGGCGCCGCGGAGCGCCTCGACGACGCGCGCGGCGCCGACGTCGCCGTCGTCGACCCGCCGCGCAAGGGGCTCGACGACGCGCTGCTCGCCGCGCTCTGCGACGCGCGCGCCGACGGCCCGTGCGCGTCGCTCGGCACGCTCGCCTACATCTCGTGCGGCTTCCCCGCGCTGGTGCGCGACGCGGACGCGCTGCTCGCGAGCGGCTGGCGCGTGCGGCGGCAGCGGGCAGAGGCCCACGTCCTCTTCCTCGGCGCCAACCACCTTGAGACCCTGTGCGTCTTCGAGCGCGAGGCGCCCGTCGGGCCGGATGGGGCGAAGCAGGACGCCCAGGAGCCGCCCCGAAGCAGCGCCAACAGTGAGAGAGGGCAGAGAGCGCGCCGAGCGCGCGACCCCGCGACCTCGCCGCGCGCGCGTCGGCTGGCCGCCGCTAGGGCCGCCGGGAGGCGGCGGAGACCGAGTGGGTGAACAGTGTGGCGTGTGACCTGGTGTGGGGATAGGTATTCAAATTCCATTATATGGAAGGCGAAGAACAGCCAGGCTTGCGCTTGGACTGGACACCAACGCGGTATGCGTATGGGTGGAAGTGCGAGCGGACGAAAAGATGACACGACTCAGGCCACTCACACCGACACGCCTGTCGCCTCTCGAGCCTCAAGAGTCGAGTCGTGGCTCGAGAGCGACACACACAAACTCACAAGAGACCGCACTCGCTCGTGGTAGTCGAGGTCACACACAGTCACACACACACCCTGGTCCCTGCTCACATTCGGTCACAGCGGCCCGAGGCTCGGCCCTGGCCCCCCCCTGCTGAAAACGTAAGATAACGAATTCGACTGTAAAAAAGAAAACGCAACCGCTGCGCTACAAGATACAATAGACCTCTCAGCAGGTCCGATTTCATGCGACGTCAACTGACAACTCTCACTCAGACAACACTCAGAGTCCACTCACACCTTGAGCTCGAACCCTTCCCGCCCCCGCTCACCGCATCTCGAATCACTCCCTTCTCCCGTAGAGCCGCGACGTCGCCGCCGCGGCGCGACCGTCTCGAACCCGTCCTCGTCGACCGGGGGGCGCGGCGTTTTGCCGTAGAGAGGTCGGGAATGCCGTAGAGGTCGATGCTTTTCAGCACCCCGATCCCGTGTTGCCGCGCAGCGCCTCGCCGATCGCCGTGGCGCCCTCGTCCCCGATGTTGTTGCGGCGGAGGTTGCACGTTTTCAGCACCGCGTTGCCCTGCACAGAGCCTCGGCGATCGCGGTGGCGCCCTCGTCACCAATGTGATCTGGCGGCAGGCGGGATTCCCCTCACGTATAGGGCAAGAAAAAAGAAAGAATCGCCGGACAACCCAAGGGAGGGATGGGAGGACGGTATAGGGCAAGAAAAAGAAAGAAAGAAAGTAAACAGACCCAGGAGGGCGCGGGGGTAAAAATTTTCCATGGCGGCCTTCACGCTTTCCAGCATCGACAACGCCGTCGCCTCGGCGGAGGCCCTGTTCGCCGCCCTGAGAGAAACGTCCTCCGCTACCAGCACACAGCGCGTGAGCGCCATGCACACCGAGTTCGAGCGCTGCTGGTCCGAGGTTGCTGCGGCAGCGGCCGAGCTCGACGCCGAGGAGTCGCAGATCACACAGCTTCGGAGAGAGCGGCGCGAGCTCCGCGAGGCGAGCGCCGCCAGCAACAGCCGTGGACCCGCCATCGACAGAGCGACGTCGCGTCGCAGCACTTCTCACCCGTGCCGCCCGTCCCGCGCGCACCGCAGGCGCTCGCGGCGCAAAACGTGCTGCTCAAACAGCAGATAGAGGCGCTGCGGCAGATGCTGTGTGATGCGTCTATGTAACACCTGAGTCTGCACTCTGTCACATGTACACTTGGTAAAAAGAAAGTGGGGCCAAGGAGGTGGCAACCCCGCCGCGCGCGCGCCTCGCTCGAGCGCGCGCGTCGCAGCCCGCTCGCACTAAATTTGATATTCACAAATACAGCTCTCTGGGAGCATCTCTGACTCTCAAGTTTTGCACACCGACCTCTCCGGCTGGTCAATTCGCGGCGCCTTTCTCGGACTGGCACCTTCCGCTGCCACCGATCGCTCCAAGCCTTCACGTGTCCCCGTGCCTGTACCTGCTGTGGTCGCTGCACACGGGCGGCTGCTCCCGCTTCCGGCGCTCCCGCTCTCCGCCGCCCCCTCCCTCCCCAGCCCGGCCCCGGCCCGCCTCCCCGCCGGCCTTCCCGCCTCGGCAGCCGGGCGTGCGCCCAGCCGGTCCAGCGGCAGCATGCCTACACAGAAAGGCGGCCAGCCTAATCAAGAGAGGTGTCTGCATCTCTCCACAGCCGGTCCAGCAGCAGGATGTGCCTAGGAAAGAAACGAGACGCATCACAGGAAATGCCGCACCCCGCAGCCGGCTAGCGGGCGGCAACGTTCCTAAAGGAAAGGCGCCACGCGTAATTAAAGGGGAGGTGTGAAGCGCCACCACACCGAGCGGCGGCGCGCCGGGCAGCGCGCGCGCCTCGGCCTCGGTGAGTGTGCGCATGGCGCCCACGGGCAGGTCGCCGTCAGACAGCGCTCCTGCTCACACTTGGGCTGTGAGGAGACGCCGGTCACATCCGTAGCCCACGTCCCCATCAGACGGCGCTCCAAACGCGTCCCGGTGCAGCGCCTGAGTGGGAGGCGGCTCCGGTCTGCGCGAGATGCAACTGAGATTAATCCAGGGCCCAAAACTCACCTCCTGCGGAGACAATCTCGGCTGATCTCGGCTTATCTCGGCTGCACCTCGGCAAACACGGCCGATCTCGGCTAATCTCGGGTGTACCTCGGCTGACACTGTCTCGTCGCGGCTCATCTCGGCTAGATCTCGGCTAGATCTCGGCTAGTCTCGGCCCATCTCGCACCTTGACCGTCCCTCCCACCTCGGCGAGCATCCGCTTCACCTGGCTCGTCAGCCCTGCGTCAGATCCAACACCATGTGTGTGCACACACCCGGACAAACATCTCTCCGCCTGGTGGAAGTGGCCCTCGTGCACGCGCACGCGCACTGTGCTTGCGCCCACGGCCTCGAGCCCGGCAGGAGCACACTGCAACCCGTCCGCGAGCTGCATGCCCGCCTCGAACGCGGCCTGCGCGCCCGGACGGAGCGCCGAGCAGTCCTCTTGCAGGACGGCCTACTCACCACGGGCTCTGGGCGTGGAGCATGCGAATGCGTGACTCGAGCCGCCCTCCTCCTGCAGGGTGCCGTGTACTCTTTCCACACGCGCGAGGTGGGGTGCAGCAGCAGGCTCTGCACGCCCCCGTCCGTCGCAAACAGCAGCATCCCCGTCGTGTCGCGGTCGAGCCGCCCGCACGCGGCGAGGTCGGGACGGCGCAGGTGCTCCGGCACGAGGTCGTACACCGACGGGTCTCGCGGGTGGCGCTGGCAGATGTAGCCGGGCGGCTTGTGCATGAGGCAGAAGCTGTGCTCGCCCGCGGGCACGGGAGAGCCGTCGCACGCGATCGACTCCACGCCAGGCACGACCTGGTGCCGCGGCTCGGTGACCACGGTTCCGTCCACGCTGACCTCGCCCCTTCGGATGCGCTGCTGCGCCTGCTTGAGCGGCACGCTGTGCTCGCTGGAAGCGGTGGCCCAGGCACGCAGCGCGTGGTCGAGGCGAACCATATCTTTACGCGTTCTGTGGGTGCCGCCTGGGCTCGGGTTGTTCGGCTTTGAGACAGCTCGCGTGGGGTTTTCTTTCTTTGAGCCGGTGTGTGTGCCAGTCCGCGCCAGTCCGCGCCCTTGTCGTGCCAGTGTGCTGTGAGAGAGGCTTGTATTTTAAGAATTCTTTCTTTCTCTCTTTTGTTAGACTCGGGCAAGCGTCGGGGTGGCGAGCAGGGGACGCGGCTCTGAGCGCCCAGCGACGCGTGCCGGATGGAGTCCGGCCGCGGGTGACTAGGGAAGTTCGCTCAGGATGTGTGGCAGCCACGTTGATTGTGACGTTGACTGAGTGTCTTTCTTGTCTTGTGGTTCTGTGTGACGCACGCTCCTGTGTGACCGTCATCGCCCGTCTTGCGTCCACCCATACCGCGTTGGTGTCCCAGTCGTTGGTCGGACTGTGTTTCGCCTTCCCATCAATCGATCTACAATCAAAAATCAAGCCTAGCTAGTGTCGTGCGAGGCGCGAGGGAGTTTTCTGGTAAAATTCTTTCTTTCGGACTTGCCTTAGTCCCATCCCTCCCTACGGTTGTTCTTCTTTCTTTTTGGTCTTGACCTTCTCCCTCCTGCTCCTCCGTCCTCCCTCAAACCTCAACAACAAAATGTTTGGTATTGCTAAAAATCTCTTTCAAACCTCCCCACGGAGACGCAAAAAAAGAAATAAAAAGACACTCGGGGCGTCCGCTGTACGCTGATCGCTGTCGACATCCCTGGCGACGATTTAGCCCGGCTCCGGCGCTTCTCTGCACACTGCAGGAAGGAGGAAGAACGCCTCACACAGACCCCAAACAACAACTCCATCTCAGACCCCACGTCTCCGGCGCACGGCATCGGCAAGCCGGCCGGCGCGCAGATGTTGAGGCTTGAGCAGCTCAAGTGAGCACCGTGGCTCTCTGACACTGAGGCTCCCTGGTGGTTCACTCTCTAGCCCTCAAGTCTCATGAAATTCAATTGGCACATGATCCGAGAGCGCTACCCACCAGAGGATACGATAGGGCCGTGTACTAACACGGTAATCGTTCACTTAGATCGCCCTCAACGACGAAGACGTTGTGGCGGCAGCGCTACTGGCGAGTGCCGAGCGACAAGAGATCCACCGGGGCTGGGCTGGCCCCAACGCGTCTTTTCTCGCCCGCGAGAACAGAGAAGGCCCGCGTCAGACCTCGTTGTCCTTGAGCTCGACGTGGCCCGCCTTGCGGCGCGCCCCGCTCCCGCCCGCCCCGCTGCCGCCGCTTGTCGGGTGGACGTAGCTCACCTAGGCAAGGGATGAGGTATCAGGTGAGGTAGACTGGTCCACACGCACGTGGTGGCGGGTG